TGGCCGTAGGTGCCCGCGGCCGCGCCGGCGGCCGCCCCCATCAGACACCGCCAGCGGAAGGGCACGGGCAGGCGGCGGAGGCGCGCGAAGCGACCGCAGGCCAGCTGCACCCGCGCCGCGGCCACGGGGCACTTGCGCCGCTTCCCGGCGACCGCGACGACCCCGAGGTCGCGGATTTCAGTTCTGGCCGCGATCGAGGGCATCTCTTGTTGGAGCCACTGCCGCACCGAGGCCAGGTTAGCAAACTGTTTGTTCTTAACCTCATGCAGCCGCCAGTCCATCTCTGCCTCGCACGCCTGGGTGATCCGCAGGGCCTCGGCGACAGCCTCGGCAGTGGCATCTGGGTCCCCGCGCGCCCAGAGCGAGAGGTCGTCGACGTACACCCGGCGCTTCAGACCGTCGTGAACACGCCCAGTGCGCTGGCACCACGGCCAGACCAAGACGCTCAGCACGAAAACTGCTAGAGCGCAGCCTGGGAGAATCCCGCTGGATGGCCCCCACGGGCCACCGAGAGCGCCATCGACGCGCAGCCGGCGGGGGGCCATGTAGGTGGCGAGGAGCGGGCCGCGTAACCACTCAGGCACTCCAGCTCGCGTCAGCACCCGTTCCAGGAGCTGCAGACTGACGCGGTCGAAGGCCTTCCGCCAATCCAGGGCGCCGCCACAGATGGCCTCCCCAGCAGCCTCCGCGGCCTCTAGCTCGAGGGCGAAGTCCCACGCGAGCTCCTCGGACCCGACGCTGCCGTCAGCGTCGCCCCACGCCGCGCGCCATCGCGAGAACAGCTGCGCCCTGCCTGCGGCCCAGACGCGGTACAGCATGGGGAGTAGCCGCTATCGGCCTGCGGTCCATGGGCCCGCCGTCACTGGGCTTTGGAAGGAGCGGCCCCTCGGGCCCGCGCAATTCCTGCGGCCAGCGGCCCGTCTGCTCGACGGACTCGAACAGCTCCGCGGTCCATTCGAGCAGCTCGTGCGGCATGAGGCGTAGCTCTGCGACTGCCCATCCGTCCAGGCCGGGCGCCTTGTTCTTCGACATCGCCTGGGGGATCGCCTGGACGAGGTCGGCCGTCCAAGGTGTCCTGTCCGGGAACGGGGGCAGGGGATCCAGCTCGACGAGCCACTCCTCAAGGCGGGGGGTCGCCAGAACGGGCCGCTGCCACAATGCCCGCCAGCGATGCTCCATGTAGCGGAGCTGGGCAGCAGCGCCGCCTCGCAGGGAGCAGCACCATCGCCGGCCACCAGGCTGCGCAGCCGACTCCCCAGCAGCGGCACTAGCAGGAGGGCCCGGCACAAGGGCGGCCGCCAGGGCGCCGTCCGAGCGGATCCATTTGCACAGCCGGCCTCCGCCGTGAGCCATTGCCTGGCGCGCCCACTCGTGCCAGGAACCGCGGCGGCGGTCGCGGGCAGCCCGCTGCGCCTCCTGATACTCGAGCTCGGCCCGCAGGACACAGCTCTCGAGCAGGCCCGGCGCCACTGCGAGCCGCTGCAGGTCGGCGGCCCAGGCGCTCCCAGCAGGCTCGTCCCTGATCAGCGCTGCTGCGACGGCCCGCGCCCGGGGGCAGCCGAGGCCCCGGCGGCTCGCGGCATGGCGCATGGAGCGCAGCCGCCGCAGCTGGAGCAGCGCGGCATCGGCAGCTTTGTCGCTTGCCTCGCCGCCAGCGCCCGTGGCACGCGGTCGACTCGCACGCCACTTCGCGCCCGCGCACTGCCGCCCAAGCGGCTCCAGGTAGCCCATGCGGCGGCTCAGCCACTTGCGCATGGCAGCCTCCAGCGCGCCCCATGCAGCATCAAGGCGACCGTCGCGGAGGCCAGCGCGAAACGCTGCCCCATGCTCTTGCAGCACTTCGTCGGCGACGGCCTGCCGGGCGTCGGGCCATCCGTCCGCAGCGGGCCCAGCGAGCGTCAGAGGTCGCCTCCGTAAGTATAGCTGCGCGCTCTGGCGCCTCGACGGCCAGCTCCACCTCGAGCGCCGCATGCGTCGGGAGGCCAAGATCCCAGCGCAGCCCTGCCGACGCGACCTGTTCCATCGCCGGCGCATTGGCGAGGACATAATCGATTCTGGATGGGCTGCCCGAGCTCGGCAAACAGGTGGGCCCCGCACGTGCCGAGACATCCTGCCAGCCGGCCATGGCCAGGAGGGGCTCCACGCTGGTCCCATGCAGCACGAGGTTGAAGTCCCCCACCAGCAGTGCCGGCACGTCGCCCAACGACCGCAGCCACGAAATCGCGGCCAGGAGCGAGGCCTCGTTGTCCTCGGCAGCGGCCGGGCCGTCAGCATGGCCGTAGACTTGCACGATGTGCAAGGCTCGCCGGCTTTCGAGGTGGAGGACTGCGTACTGCAGGCGGCACGCCTGCTCCGAAGCGAGGCCGGTCATGTCCACCGCGCGGAGGCCGTGCAAGCCCCCCCGATGCGCGAAGGCCAGCAGGTGAGTGCCACCGCCAGAGGCCCCGAGCTGCATGCGGAGGCCGCGGCGACGGGTTCCGTCAACAACGGCGGCAACGCAGCCCTCGTCATCAGGCGCTCGGGCCTCCTGCGCGCAGTACACGTCGGCGTCCGCCGCCAAGAGCCCGCGCCAGCTGCCCCGCCAGCTCGTGACGTTAGCCACGACGATGCGCGTACTCCTCGTCACGCCTCCTTGCCCGGGCCCAGGGTGCGAGGCCTCGCCCATGCGGATGCCTCGCCACGGCCATCCGCTCCAGTCAGCCGGCGCGAGCCGCCCGTCACACTGAACACGGACCAGACGCACAAGTTTTTCGAGCTGCGTCCAGCCGTGGCTCCAAGGGCCTGGGACGCCTTCGGGGGCCCTCGTCGCCACCGCCAGCGCGAGCCGCCTGGCAGTGCCACCAGCTGGAGTGGTCAGGGCAGGCCGCCTGGCCCGCGCGCCCGGCTCGGCAGCTGGTGCGAGCCGCCCGCCATCAGGGGCGAGCCGCGTGTCACCGCGGGCGGGGCTGGCGGCGCCCGCGCCGCTGTGGGACCCTCGGCGGAGGCAGGCCCTGGGAAGATGGGTCCCCGGGCCATTTTCCCACCCCCTCGGCCGCGCCTGCGCCGCTGGGCCCCCCAGCGGGCAGCAGCGCCTGCATCGCACTTCACGCGACGCCCGCCGCGCCCCGCTCGGCGCTCCGGGAGCGGCCCCTGCTTGGGGACGGCGGTGTGGAGGAGGCGCGCGGGCGGCCCAGGCACTGCCTGAGCGTGACCTGGCTCCTGGCTTCGGCGGCGCGGTGGGCGCCTGCCACCTCGCGCCACGACCTGGGCGCGGATCCGCGCTCCGCAGCGTCGCCGGGCCCGCTTCCTGGCGGCGCGGCGCCGGGCTCGGCGACGGTCCCGGAGCCCCGGCCCTCCGGCAGCGCAGCGCTGGGAGCTTCGGCGGCAGCAGGAGCGCTGGGGCCATGACCATCGGCGGCGTGCAAGGCGGCGGCAGGCGCTGAGGCGGCGGGCCCGCCCGCTGCCACCGCCGCGCCGCCTGCAGGAGCCGCAACACCGCCGCCGCCTGGCGCCTGCACGAGCGCGCCGTGGAGCTGCTGCAGCAGGCCGGCCACGACGGCCTGCGCCCCGGGGGCGGCGGCGGCGGCAAGCGCCGCGAAGGCTGCGTCGAGCCCTCCGGCGGGGGCACCGGGGCCTGGCGCCGGCCCTGCGGCGCCGCCGGCGGCCACCTCGGCCTGCACGGCCGCCAGCGTCCGCTGCGCGGCGGCCTCCTCGGATGCCGCACGCTCCGCCTCCTCTTGCATGGCCTCGGCCGCCTGCGCCGCCCGCTCGGCCGCTTCCCGAGCGTCGTCGGCAGCCTGCCGCGCCTGCATGGCCGCCTCGGCCCGGTGGCGCAGCGCATCCGTGGCCGACTGCAGCCTGCGCTCGAGAGGCCGGGCTGCGCGCTCCGCCTCCACCAGCGCCGCCTCCTCCGCCTCCCACTGCGCCACCTGAGCGGCAAGGTCTGGGAAGCCCCGGTTCGCCGCCAGGCGGGCGCGCACAGCTGCCAGGCGCTGCCCAGCCGCCGGTTCGGCCATCGTGGCATCGGCGGCCTCCGGCGCAGCCGCCGCTGCACCGCCCGCAGCCGCAGGCGCCGCCTCCGCGGCTGGACGAGCCGCCGCGTCGCCTTGGTGCCCCGCCGCCTGCGGAGCCCAAGGCGCCCTCGTGGCGGGCCCGGGCACCCGGCCGGCCCGCCTGCACCATTCGCACGGAGGGCGCGTCCGAGCGGGGGGCGCGGCGGCCGCAGCCCCGGCAAGCCGCGCGGCACGCCCAGTTGTCGGCCACCCCGCATGGGTAGCTCCACATCGGCTGGCGGGGACCCGCCAGCCGCTCGGCAGTGCCGCCAGCCCGAGCTCCATCTCCACCAAGTGGCTGCTGACGCTGCTGCTCCTGCTGCCGCCGATGCCGCCTGCCCAATCAATCCCCAGAAGTCGCCCCAGCCGCACCCGTGCCGAGCAGCTTGCGCAGCGCCGCCAGCGTCTCCCGGTCGGAGCGGCATGGCCCCCCGCCTGGAGCCCACGCCGCCGGCATGCGGCTACGCGCGCGGATTACCCTACGCGCGGGCCCGGGCGCCGGGCCGGGTCGCTGCTCCTGCCCAGCTGGCTTGGGAAATGTTTACGAGTTCACCCGTAGGGGTGTGACGATAATTGCGCTTGGCGCGTCGCGGTTTGGGGCCAGGGCTGCTGTTTTTTCCCAGGGTGGCGGCGCGACGGCGCGAAGACGATCGCGGGGCGCGGGGCGCGATGCGCGAAGTTGAGTGGCCTGGGGGTCGTTTGCCCCAGGACGGTCGTCAACGACGTGCCTCCGTAGGAGTATATCGGACAGGCGCCCCCGAGTCCCGAACAATCTCACACTTGGCACGAAGGTCAAAGTTTGTCTTAACTGTGGATGGGGTACCCTTATGTTCTTCGCTCTGGGGCGTCACCTTGTAGTGTCCTTCGTTTTGGGGATATGTACGTGTGTGGTGTTGGGCCCTCGGCGAGGGGAGTCATCATGGTCCACGTTCTTGTAGCCATGTGTTGACCGTACCACCCTCCTGGAAGGCCGACATCTCTCAGTATCTCAGCACGCAGGAGAAGAGCGCGGACAGTTCCGCCGCCGCCCTCCGGGACGTCGGCGTTTTGGAGACGAGGGCTCCTCTGACATTGTCGTCGCGTTTTTCACCATGGGCGATTTTGCGATGTTTCGGGTCCCGGGACCCTCACGGATCGATCCGTCTCGAAAAATGCAGCAACAAAAATGGGGGCGAGGGCTCCGGTCGAGCTTTCTACGTTGTTGCATTTTCTCTTGGTGTCGGATCTCAGGGAAGGTCAGGTTTGAGGGGCCGACGTCGGTGACAGAAGCGGGAGCCCCCACCGTCATGGCAGGATCTGCTGCTTCTATTGGGCCTCTGCAGGCATCAGTACACATCAACCGTGCGCATTGATGTCAAGAGAAGGAATCAGAGAAGCAAGAGGTAACGATATGATACGTTTTGACATTGCCAGGGTTTTCAAGATTCCCTGGTACGACACACGGGCTGCAACAACGAGACCCGCAAGATATTTTCAGAATTCCCGGAACGTGTCCCGAGCCAATCGCATCATGACACCATTCCCGTCGGGAAGGCATCCAGCCCTGCGGCCAGCGCCCCACCTGCACCGACCTTGGCCACGCCAATCCTGGGTCAAGGATCTGCGCCATACTCCCCTCCTGGCCGGGGGGCTTCGGGGGGGTGGCATGCCCGCCAGTCCTGGTCGGATCGCCGCAGGCGCCGCCACCCGCACGTTTCGAAATCCGTCCAAGGCCATTGGTTTTCGAAACATTGCAAGGTAGCACTTATCAGTTTCGTGTTAAACATCTTGTGTTTTTCTCCGAAAGCGTCTGCCAGGTTTCTTGCATTTTCGGTCGCGCATCACGTCATCGTCATCGACATTAGCCGCCACTGCCGCATCACTCAAGCACCTTGTCTTTGGAATTGTTGACTTTCTCCGCTCTCCAATCCTTTGCCCCTTTCGCCGCTCTCCGCGTCGGTGGGGCTAGAATGCGTGGACATGCAGTCTCTCGTCCTTCCAACTGGGCCTGTTGGACGATAAAGCCTTGCGCGGGGCATTTTCCATCGCCTTGTTTTTGTTTGGCCGGGTTGATCCATTTACAGCATTTGGGGGACCGATTTGCCCAAGAAGTCAGGGGGCATGTAGATGTTTGGGTCCGCGGAGGCCCGAATGTGTCAGTGTCTGGTGCGTACGAGGCTCTTGGGGGATCGGTGGTTCCCGAAGAGGTCGAGACGGATAAAACCTAGTTTCGGTGGAGTGGCCGAACTTTGCGCCAGCAGGCCCCGAAGTACGGTTTCTTCGTCAGGGCAGCCCCGTCCCGGTGCAGGCGTCGAGCGCTCTCCCCCAGATTACAGCAAGGTTTTTGGGACCTCACCTGCCCGCTTTGGGTTTCAAAAGCATTGAAGCTTTCGTCGTCATCGCCTTCGTTTATATCGATCATAAATGATTTTGATTATTCAATCGCTTCGCTCACTCCGCCGGCCCGTATTGCATGATCGCTAGTGCTTCGGCGCGGGCTCGGGGCCATTTCGGCGCCGCCGGAAGGAGGAAGATGAAGATGGGGAGGGGGAGGGGAGGAGGAGAAGAGGATGAGAAGGAACGGAGGAGGATGAAGATAAATATGAGGAGGAGGAGGAGGAGGAAGAGAAAAGGGCGGAGGAGGAAGCCTCTCGATGGCATCTTGCGGCGCTCTTGGGGCCAAACAGGGCCGTCGTCCAGATGCTTCTTTGGGAGGCCCTGGGGTCTGTTGAGAGGCCGTTCGGGGGCGCCTGGGAGACATTTTTGAAGCCTTGTAGGGCCTCTTTTGAGCCTCCTTGGAGCCTCCTGGGGTCTCTTGGGGGCCTCTTGGCGGCATCTTGGGCCATCTTGGGGGCCTCTCGGGGCCTCCTGGGGCCCTCTTGGGGCGGAAGGCTTGAGGTGTCGGTTCGTGGTCCCCATCCTGGGCCCCTCTTGGGGCCGTCTTGGGGCTCTCTTGGGCAGTCTTGGGCGTCTCTTGGGCTGTCTCGGGGCCCGTTTGGGCTCTCTGGGGACCTCCTTGGGGGCCTCTTGAGCCGTCTTCGTGCGCTCTTGGGGGCCTCTTGGACCGTCTTGGAGCGTCGGAAAGCCGAAAATGCGACAAGGCCAAAATCTTTCCAGAACTATCGTCAAATTTATGATTTTGGCCTCTCGGGGCGCTCTTGTGAGGCCTCTTGGAGGCCACTTGGAGCGTCTTGGCGGCTTCTTGGGCCGTCTTGGGATCATCTTCGGCGTCTTGGAGCGTCCTTTGGGCGTCACGGGGGCCTCTTGGGCAGTCTTGGGGGCCTCTTGGGGCCCTCTTGGCGCGCTCTGAGGGGCCTGAGAGGCCGTACCCAGGAGGAAAACCATCTCTGAGTAGACCTTCCCGGGCTGCGGTCGGGGTATTTTTCGCCGGGGGACCCCCAGGGGCCGCCCCGCGCGCGCGAACTAGAAATATTGTTAAGTAGTTGCCGGAGATCTTAGCACGCCTCTGGCCCGTTGGGCCGGCGAAGTTTCTGTTTTTCCTGGGCGCTGCGGTCTCTTAGGGGGGCTCCGAGGCTCTGAGGGCAGGACGGGTTTTACAATTTTTGCATGGGGCGGACCCACCAGCCCGTTTTTTCATCACACGTCTAGTGTTGCATCTCAGGGGCAGGTAGAAACGCGGTGCACGCGACCACTTTGTATTTGTCCTCCTCCCACACTTCTGGTTCGAAATATGTAGTCGATTTGGGGATTTCGGATGTTTTTTGGGGCTGATTTGGGTTTCTTGGGGGCCTCTTTGGGCCTCTTGGGCGCACCACGGGGGCTTGTGGGCGGATCCTGGGACCACTTGTAGGCGGGGGGCTCAAAATCTAGCTCGTGAGGCCTACATTGGACCCCTCTTGGGGCCGTCTTGGGCGCCTCTGGTGCCCTTCTTGGAGATTATTGTGCCGGTTTGGGGCGATGTTGGGCGGCTCTTGGGCCGTTGTGGACGCCACGAAGACCGCAAGGCTGCAACGAGAACACCATATAATGTCAGCCAGCGTGGACGCGAGCATTGTGGTTTTAGCCTCATACGTGGCGCAACATATATATATATATATATAGATATGTTTTGTAATTGATTTGTACAAACGGGTCGATACATTCCGTGCCCTTGCACACATCCCAACCACCCTTCCGCAACTCAGTTTGCAAAACCTATGCGACGTCGATTGCGATGAGTGCTTGGCGATGGCCTTCGGCCGTGCTAGCCCGCGTACGCTCGCGCGCACAACGACCACCTAGTGCGGCGCGACCGACGCGGCAGTGGTGGCACTGACCGCTCGGCATGTGCTATAAGGGAAAAGGGCGACAACACGCGCGCAGGCTTGGTCGAGTGATGTCGACAGGCGCGCGCGCGAGAGGCCCTCTTGGTGGCACTTTATGCAAGTAATGAAGAGCAGTGATTCCCTCAAGGATTCGCAAGTGTGCTGGCGCATGTTTTTGGTTTGTTGAAATTTCGTGATGCGAAACCATGCGTGGTTGTATGTTTTCACGACTCGATTTTGAAACCTTTACGAGTTTTAAGGTCTGTGAAAGATGTCGGCATGCGCGCGCGACGACGCGCGCGTGCGCATTTCGTCCCATATGTTGCAAGGGGTTTTCGAAAACGTATGATTTTGATCAGCGGGTGTGCGCGCAGATTCCTTTTGCAAGGGGTGAAAAGGGGGGAGCGAATTCTGGCCTGGATGGGATGGCGCGAGCTTATTTGTGGGATGGACGATATGGGCAGATCGGTACGCACACTGCAATACGAAAAGGTGGCCCATTGACCCCTGTGGGGGGGTAGAGTACGAAGCTCCCCCCCAGCAGTTTGTAGTATAGAGGATGGGATGGGAGTGGTAATGGTAGCAGTGCGGAGCATCATGTAGTGTAGCATTGTTACACCGCTATCACTTCTCATTCCACAGCCCTTTTCGACAAAAGTTTTTTTCATGGTAGCGCGTGGGGCCCAGCCTGCGCATGCCTGGGAAGAAGACTACGGGCTAGCGACGACATCCCGACGCCGTCCAGCGCCGGGCAGATCGAGGAGATCGCGGGCGACCCCGCGACAGCACCCAGCCTCCCCTGAGCGCGGGCAGCCCAGGCCCGGCCTCGGGCGCAGACTGGCAGGAAGGGCTGGCGGCCCCAGCACCGGCGGCAGCGGGCAGCCCCGCGCCGCCTCGGCGGGTTGCCCCGGCGGCCACAGGTGGCGCTTGCGGGAAGCCCCGCGGCGTCGACGCAGGAACGCGCCGAAGAGCGCCAGCAGAAGCCTGGCACCGCGGCCGGGAGGATGCAGCAGGCCGCGCAGTCGCTGCCGAAGGCGGAGGACAAGGAGGCCCCGGACTCTCGGGCACGCGCGGGGCGCGGCAAGCGCCCACGAAACCCAGGAGGGGACGTAGAGGAGGAAAGGGGGAAGAGGAACGAAAAGCGTGATGAGGAGGCGGAAAGGTCGTCGTCGACTTTTCCGCCCTGCGACCTGAAAGCCTGGATCGCAGCAAAGCGCGCTTCGCTTCCAAACTCCATTGCGGTCGGGTCAAGAAGGGGTTCGAGCCAGAAGAGAAGTAAGAACGAGGTAAAGGCGGAGGCTACGGGAGCGGCGTCTGCGCGGGCATTCCCGCCGTCGCCGGAATGGAGAGAAACAGCTAAGTTGGTCAACCCAGCAAATGGAGCGATTCACGCATTTCTTGATTGCGACTGGTCCGGGGAATCGTCGACGGCGGCCTCTCAGCAGCAACATATCAGCCAACTGCAACAGGCGGGGGGCGCCGCGCAAGGCGGCGCGGCAGCGCCAGCCCAGGTCGTTTCCAATGAGTCAATCGATATGTTGATCGATGCGCTCACGGAGCAAACCAGAGCACACTCGAGGAGGGATCGGCCAGTTCTGGTCGACGTAAAAGGTATTGGTGGGCCGTGCACTTTTCGCTTACGACGAGAGCAAGTTTCCTGAATGGTGCAAGAAAGTAGAAGATTACTTGCTCGGAGTAGAACCAGAACTAGCGTCTGCGTTCGAGTGGGCGCTCGAGCAGGAGGACGAGTTCACGACGGCTGAAACGACCC